GTAGCATCCATGTAATTGTCAATAAATAAGAATTGGCTGACAGATTTTGCTTAGGGCAAAATTTATTTAGAGTTCTATTCTGACATCTTCTACTTTGTGGTGCATATTGCTACCTGATTATCTCACAAGTACCTCGAAGTTGGCATGTCTCAAATCAAATATATCTTCCTTTTGAAACATTGAGTAAGATAGAGAAATAACTTGTAGCTTCTCACAGACTATATGACCTCCTCACTGTCCCACAATTTGCTTTTTAACTGTGTTTTCTTGTCATGGTGAACCTGTGTTCACCATATAAATCATACTCCCTCTGCCTGGGATACTCTTCTTGGTCTCTATATAGTAATCTCCTTTTATAATTCAGATTTCACCTTAATCACTATCTTCTATGAAGGGTTTTCCCTGGTCAGACAGTATAAATACCACTTTACCCTTCATAAAATTTTCCTATTTTAAGTATACATTAAATATTAATTATGCTTTAATTAAATTAATTATATTTTGATTATATGCCATACCTGCCCTAATTTGTCTTATTTATTTATTTATTTATTTTCCTAGTGACAAGGTCTTGCTCTCTCACCCAGGTTCAAGTGCAGTGGTGCAATTATAGCTCACTGCATCTTTGAACACTTGGCCTCAAGCAATCCTCCTGTCTCAGCCTCCCGAGTAGCTGGGACTATAGATGTGTGCTACTATACCCAGCTAATTGTTTTATTTTTTTGTAGAGAAGCAGGTCTTTCTATGTTGCCCAGGCTGGTCTCGAATTCCTGACCTCAAGTGATCCTCCCACCTCGGCCTCCCAAAGTGCTGGGATTGCAAATGTGAGCCACTGTGTTCTGCCATCATTTTTTCACTATGACTTTCCCTACAATGGAATATAAGCTCATAAGTAGAGCTTGTCTAGGCTATACAGGGCTTAGAACAGTACTTGGCAAAGTATACATCTACAGAATAAATAAATTTTTAAAAATTATCTCATGGTCTCATGAAAAATGTGGATTTTCTAGCATATTTCTTTAGATTGTCATTCAGTATATGTGATAAACCCTGAAAACATTACACTAAATGAAATAAGACAAACCCAGAAGCACAACTATTGCATGATTCCACTTGAGATAACTAGAATAGCCAAATTCATAGAGACAGAAAGTAAAACAGAGGTTTCCGGGGACTTGGGGGAGGAGGGAAGGGATGTTATTGTTTAATGGGTACAGGGTTTTAATTTGGGATCATTTCAAAGTTTTGGAGATGGATACTGGTGATGACTGCACAACACAGTGTATGTGTTTGATGCCAGTAAAACCACACTGAAAATTAATTAAAATGTAAAATTTTATGGTAGTACATTTTGACATAATTAAAAGCCTTTTAGAAAAATTTGTCATTTTTAATCACGTTCTGGGTGATGTCCACATTGCTAATCTTGGGACCATACTGAGTAGTAAGACCATAGTATAGAGAAAATAAACAAACAAAAAAAGTGAGTTCTTTAGGAAAAGGAAACATATCTTTTGATTCTTATGAACTTACAGTAACTGGTATATTGTATATATAAGTTCAATACCCTTTATCAATTAAATCACTAAGGAATGAATAAGAAAATATAATCAAATAGGGTAAGTAGGATTTGTTTTTTGTTTTGTTTTCTTTTGTTTTGTTTTGTTTTTTGAGTTGGAGTCTCACTCTGTCGCCCAGACTGGAGTGCAGTGGCCGCTCCCGGCCACCGCAGCCTCGACCTGCTGGGCTCCGGCGATCCTTCCGCCTCAGCCTTCCAAGTAGCTGGAACTACAGACGTGCGCTACCACGCCCGGCTCATTTTTTGATTTATTGTAGAGATGAGGTCTCGCCAAGTTGCCCAGGCAGTTCTCGAGCCCGCAGGCTCAGGCAGTCCACTCACCTCAGCCTCCCAAAGCGTGGGATTTCAGGCTGAGCCACTGAGCCCGGCTGTAAGTAGGATTTGTAATACAGATATGAGCAAAGAGTAAAGGGAAATCTGGGTAGGAGGTGATTATTTTCAGGGGCAATAATGAGGTCATGAAATCAATGCTCTGCATAAAGTATTACTCAATAAATATGTCCTATGCAAATGTGCTGTTGACACAGTAAAGACATTTATTTTACCCACCTATTAGAATTACTAATTAAGCACTAAAAAAATGTTATGGGACTAAACAATAGAATGGGATATTAAATTAACAACCGTTTAAAAAAGAATGTTTATTTGGCTCAGTGAGTTTTATTTGTTCATATTGTTTCCCAAGTGCAGTATGACATGAAGAACACCCTGTGCTTGACTTAGAAATTCACCAACATTGTAATCAGATATTACAGTGTGATCAGAATTAAACTTGGGGAAGCAGTTAGTTATTTGTTGAGGAGAGAATGCATACATGATTTTGGTGTAAACGGGCATATATGCTTAAAGAGGTGAGCCTTGGTTGTTTTGATTTCATTTTATGAATGGATAAGTTTTATTATATAATTGCTAATTTTTATAAAATGCAAATGATTGATGTTTGTCCATCATTTTATTACTTTTCTATTTTCTTACTTTTCTTACATACATGTCAAATTACTGGTGATGCTGTAAAGTTAGCATAGCTGTTGTAATCTATCCTCTACAAAGTATGACCATTGACATTTTTAAAAGGCAGCATAAGCCAGTGGATGACTGTGTTTGTATTACACCTTCCTTCTTGGCACTAAAAGTATTTTTGGCCCATTTGGACTTATTCTTTCAAGGAGCTTTCTAGTTGAAAGTATCCTTTTCAGATCTGTAGATACTATTTAATAAATTAGTAATTCCACTCTAGAATTTAAAGCTGTATCTTTACAATCATCTTAGTATAGTGTAATATATTATATGGCCTAAATGAGTCATAAGCATCTCTACACATCAGTAATAAAATAATTTATGAACATACTTGTGGTCATAAGTTAAGATACTGAGTATCATCCAAAGAAAGAATACATTATACCTGTTATAGTTTTAATGATGAATAGGTTTTTGAAATTTTCAAATTCTTTGTAAATGTTAATTCAGTTGGTGGAAGCGCGAACTTGTTTCTATTTGATTAACTAGAAAACCCTATTCCCTGGTATAGGAACAGACATATAGATCAATGGAATAGAATTGAAATTCCAGAAGTGAAACCTCAATTTCTCAACCAACTCATCTTTGACAAAGACTCCACCACCTACCACTGGGGAGAGGAGAACCTATTCAGTAAAGGGTGCTGGGAAAACTG